CGCCCTGTCATGATCCAATCAGACAACACCACCACAGATGCCTATATCAACCACCAGTGTGGCACAAGGAGCATGACAGTGGTTCTGGAGGCCTCTCGCATTCTTCGGTGGGTGGAGCTTCACATGCCAACTCTATTCGCCATGTACATTCCAGGTGTTGAAAACTGGCAGGTAGACTACCTCAATCGTCAGACGCTGGATGAGAGAGAGTGGTCTTTACATCGTTCCATTAGAACTGCCTACACTGGGGCACACTGGACATGGATCCCTTGATGTTCCACCTGTACAGGAAGGAGCTGAGGTTTATGGCGACAGAGACCCCTGGTGGATGCAAGAGACATGCTAGTAGTGCCATGGGTCAGTATTGTCTCATTTATGTTTTTCTTCCCCTCAAGCTCCTTTGTCATTAAAGGGATTCTGGTCATTCTGGTCACTCCGGACTGGCTTCGACTACAATGGAAAACCAATGTGGTGAGGCTGGCCACAGACATTTCCTGGCAGCTGCCACTTGGGGAAGATCTTCTGCCCCAAGGGTTGGTCTTCCACCCTGCTTTATAGTCTCTGGATTGGAAGGCATAGCTATTGAAAGCTAGGTTCTGAGAGACAGAGTGTTGTGGGGTTCAGTGATCCCTGCAATCTTGAAAGTTATGTATTGGAAGATTTATCATTGCACCTGGAAATCTTATGATGCCCTGGAAATCTTTCAGTGACCCTTGGTCATGGACTCCTTGATTGCTACCTTCATCCAAGGGATTCACCATATGGCACCCCCTGTGCATTCACCGACCTGAACTTGGTTGTGTTGGTCCTCTAGAAGCCTCCCTGTAAGAGCATTCGGGATATTCCCCTATTTACGGTATCTCAGAAAGTCACCTTTTTGGTCGCCATCACTTCTGCACAGCGGATGTCGGAGCTTAACCTGTAAGTCTTCCTATTTGGTCTAACACAAGGTTAGGGTGGTTCTCCATTCATGTCCCTCCTTCCTTCCATAGGTGGTCTTGGATTTCCACCTCAATGGGGACATTGTCCAGCCTTCTCTCTGTCCATGGCCTTCATATCTTAAAGAGGCTGAACTATACTCCTTGGATGTGGTTTGGGTCATTTGTGTATACCTGTCTGCTAGGGCTTTCAGAGGTCGGATTCTCTTTTTGTGATCACGGACAGTCCATGAAAAGGCCTGGTGGCCTCCTCTGCCACTGTTTTCCAAAGGATTTGGCAGATGATTGTTCAAGTGTATGCCATTAAGGGTTCGGCTCCCCTCTTCCCGGCACTCTCCACCAGGAGAATTTGTGCCTCTTGAGCATTCTGACATCAGGCGCCTGCATCTCACATTTGCATAGTTGCTACTCGTGCACACTTTTACCAAATTTTACAAAGTTGATGTATTTGCATCTTTGGATGCTTGCTTTGGCCTCGAGGTTATGCGTCCGCTGTTTAAGGTTCTTGTTTCCCCTTTTGTTTGCACACCCCTCATTGAGGCACAGCTTTGGGATGTCCCTATGGTCAATGAGTTCATTGGTGCACGCAGCACCTACCCCTCTATTTGCTTCTTTTACTTTTCTTTTACTGGTTTTTGACTTACCGGCTTGTCTATAGCAGAGAGGGGGTTTATACCAGCTAGAACTGCTCATAGCCAGTGCTGTGTTCTTTTCTGCGTAGTGTCCTACTCCTATAGGTGATGCTATAAAACCCTATGGTCAAGAATGAGAAGAGCTGTGTCAATGCATTCAGAGAAAAGGATTTTATGGTGAGTATCAAAAAATCCTGTTTTTAGTAGGTAAAACTATCCACATGCATATATTTTGGTGATATATTCAACTTTTTTGCCGAAGTTCAACTTTAATTCTAATCTAGTTCATAGAAGGGATGGAAACTGATGGAAACAGAGATTAAATGTGCTATAGTATTGCAGTATTCATATTTGTTTAATCATTACCATAGTAACATTAAATATAGACAAATACAGGTATATACTGTTTAATTATTGTTATCAAATATTTAAAGCTGAACTCCAGGTTGGTTATGTAAAAAAAAAAATCATTATATCTATTTAAAAGGTGAATTCTGGGATAAAAAAAATATCTTGCAGTAACCCCCACCCCCACACTGCAAATGTTACATGCTGGTTAAGTCTAGGGGGTGGAGGAAAACGCTGTAATGCTTATCCTATTCTTTGCTACCCTTGGCCATTGACGCTCTTCTCTGCTTCAGCCTCACTGCAAGGATTTTTTCCTGCCTGGAGTGAGGCTTTAAATGCAGGTATGCACCCTGAATTTAATTTGATTATAGTATCTTGTTATCCCTGTACAGCAGTACAGCAGGAGAGCAAGTGGAAACATGGAGGTTAATCAGGTGTGCTTCATGCACATGTACTGGCAAGGAGCCTGCTGACAGGGAAAGAAAGCAGAATGATTACCTTGTCACGCACTTGCTGCTCCTTCCTTGTCAAGTCACAAGCAGGGAAAATGGATGTGACCTAGTTGTGTTGCTTAATAGCAGCAAAAAATGTCAGCTCATTAGTCTGGCTATGCTGTGTGACAGGGCAGTGTAAATTTCAGATTGAAATGGTCAGAAATACTAATTCTCTGGCAAGTACAACAGCTCCCATATATGCACTTCAACCATGTACTTAGCTGTTTGCCTGGAATTCAGATTTACAATACAGTGCCAGTTTTTTCAGCTTAATATGAACATATGCTTTTTATACCAGTTAAGCACTTGAATGGTTATTTTTTTCTGCTACTTTTTTTCTTTTATTCATAAAAAATTAAAAAGTCAGATTCTACACTATTGACGGTGGATCCCCATAGAGAATGGTTGCAAGTTGTAAACTTGATTCTTCCCCTAATTTGGTACACTTGCAAATAAATGTGCTCATCAAATATGTGACGTATGTGCAATGAATACCAAAGAATAATATTTGGGGATTACCCAACCTTACAAATGTGCAGGTCAATCTCACTGCAAACTTTGCTTATTGGTAAATAGAGTGAATGCCCTCCCCTCCAGTGTATGTATAATTCAAACACTTTGTTCTAATTTATATTTTTATTCACATTCTCAATCAATGTTACAGAAAACACATTTGTGCCTGCTCATTTAAAGGTAAAAATGTAGAAGGGATGTGTTATAATACTGTACCAATTGCCCACTCTCCTGTCTGATGGCAAAATATGATAACCACGTAATGCACAGGACCTGAGTTGACTTCTCAATATTTATGTTGGTTTCTATGTTCTAAGATGATATATACACTATGTTGCCAAAAGTATTGGGCCAGCCCTCCAAATCATTGGATTCAGGTGTGCCAATCACCTCCATGACCACAGGTGTTTAAAATCAAGCACCTAGGCATGCAGACTGCTTCTACAAACAATTGTGAAAGAATGGGTCACTCTCGGGAGCTCAGTGAATTCAAGCGTGGTACCGTGATAGATTGCCACCTGTGTAATCCGTGACATTTCCTTGCTACTAAATATTCCATGGTCAGCTGTTAGTGGTATTATAACAAAGTGGGAGCAACTGGGAACAACAGCAACTCAGCCAAAAAGTGGTAGGCCACGTAAAATGACAGAGCGTGGTCAGCGCATGCAGACATGAAACAACTGTCTGCAGAGTCAATAGCTAAAGACCTTCAAACTTCATGTGGCCTTCAGATTAGCACAACAGTGCTTAGAGAGCTTCATGGAATGGGTTTCCATGGCTGAGCAGCTGCATTCAAGCCTTACATCACCAAGTACAATGCAAACCATCGATACAGTAGTATAAAGCATGCTGCCACTGGACTCTACATCAGTGGAGACGTGTTCTCTGGAGTGACCAATCACATTTCTCTGTCTATCAATCCGATGGACGTGTTTGGGTTTGGCCATTGCCAGGATATTGGTACTTGCCTTACTGCATTGTGCCAAGTGTAAAGTTTGGTGGAGCGGGGATTATGGTGTGGGGTTGTTTTTTCTGGGGTTGGGCTTGGCCCTTTAGTTCTAGTGAAGGGAACTCTTAAGGTGTCAGCATATGACTGTGCACCAGTGCACAATGCAAGGTCCATAAAGACATGGATCAGGGAGTTTGGGGTGGAGGAACATGACTGTCCTGACCTCAACCCAATAGAACACATTGGGATACATTAGAGGGGAGGTGCAAGCCAGGCCTTCTTGTCCAACATTAGTGCCTGACCACACAAATGCGCTTCTGAAATAATGGTCAAACATTCCCATAGACACACTCCTAAACATTGTGGACAGCCTTCCTAGAAGAGTTGAATCTGTTATAGCTGCAAAGGGTGAGCCAACTCAATAATGAACCCTATGGACTAAGACTGGGATGCCATTAAAGTTTATGTGCGTGTAAAGGCAGGCGTCCCAATACGTTTGGCAATATAGTGTATTTTTTAAGGCAAGGATTTAGATGCACTCATATAATTTAAATAGTGTCTTAAAATGCATCTCTAGACACAAAATTTGTTGTTTGCTTTAGGAATACAATGCAATGGGTAGGCCCTTTATACCTTTTTCGGAAATTGAGAGAAAATCTCTCCAAAACAGAAAAAAATGATGACATCCTCTGTTATACTGTTTTTATCAGAGCATAGGTCCCCATTGGAAACTGTCCCCCTCATTCTCTTCTTGTGTGAGCTGTAAAATTTTGGATTTCCTATCACTTTCTGTTCTGGTGACAATGGCGGCTAGGACAAACAGAGAGGAAGAAACTAACCAGTGAGAATTGAAATCTGACAGGGGCTAAACACATACAAACTGAAAAGCACCACCACGTTTTTGTGATGAAGATGATGACAACTGATTACAATGATATTTATGTTTATGATGATGATTTTTATTATTATGAGCATTACTAATCAAATAAATAAAATGGTTTAATCAATCATGCACTAGATACTGATTAACGTATAGTAAATTACTTAACTACTGTATAATCAGTAGGACTATGAAAAAATGACCTTCTGGTTTTGCAATTACATGTAATATATTTATATGTCTTAGGTTTTGCAGACACTATTTTATGCTGTCTCCTTTTTGACGGATCTCCTGCTTCCAATAAGAGGAATTAAATTAGTAAAGTTTGTTATCTATTGCAGAGACCTTCTCTTCTCTGTTCTGGCTTTTCCAGCATCAACTGTAAGTTTAAATCTTATAAAGTGTAAACTGTTCTCCTGGTGGGATTAGCGTCAGTGTCAATCAAAATGCAGTCAACTGTGCTTGTGTACTGATATCTTGATTTGTCACTGAGAACCTCTCGCTTATCACTCCAAGTCAATAAGAAAAGTTACTGCTGAAATTTCTTTCCCGATAACAGGAAAAAGAAAGATGAATTTGTGACAAGCACACATTTAAAGTGTACTTGTGGCAGTTTCCATCATGGTAAACTAACCGCCAACTGCACAGCAGTGGTGTAGCTCTGGTCAGAAGGCAACTCACTTCTTCAACTGAACGTTTGTGCATCTGAAAGCCACTGCATACAGTCCAGGTCTAGTTTACTATGGTGGAAGATGCCTTGAAAAAGGGCATTTTACTCACCATAGGTAGCTGCCATCCTTGCCTCCATCTAGTTTTGCTTTAACACATACTGAAGTCTTTAAAATTACTTACATCTTTGTAGTGCCCTTACTCATACACACACATTAAGATCATTTTTGAGTAGCGTGCTAACATGAAAATGTCCTGTTACCAAAAGCAACTATATAAAATCCTTGTCTTATTTCAAACTTGAATGGCAGGCATGGTATTGAAAGCTGATTTTTACTATTGAAAGTTTTACTGTTAAAAGGCTTTGTACCAGGGGCAGATTGACAACTCAAGGGGCCCCGGGCAATAGGGGATCATGGGGCCCCTGTATCCTTGCCCAAACTCAAAAAAGTCTATGAAAAAGGTACCAGGGGCATCTCATGGGGCCCCCTACTGACCCCAGGCCCTCGGGCAGTGCCCTAGTTTCCCAATGGTCAGTCTGCCCCTGCTTTGTACATAAGCTCAATTTTTGCATAATTATATTGCTGTAAAATGTTGAATGGTAAAACTATAAAAAAGATACAACAAGGGGGAGATTTACTAAAACGGATGCAGTCAGAATCTGGTGCAGCTGTCCATGGTAGCCAATGAGGAAAGAACAAAGAGAGGGCGCACAGGCCTAGTGCATTACCATAAAAAATGTTTAATAAGAAATAAAATAGGTGTTGTACTCACAAACGACAATAAAGTCAAGGCACATCATAAAAGAACAGCTGGGTCAACACTGCGCTGAGTAACAGTCCGTAATGGGGAATGTAGACATCCAATAGGCTGACACGTTTCGAGGACTTGCCTCTTCCTCAGAGCGGTGTTGACCCAGCTCTTCTTTTATGATGTGCCTTGACTTTATTGTCATTTGTGAGTACAACACACCTATTTTATTTCTTATTAAACATTTTTTATGGTAATGCACTAGGCCTGTGCGCCCTCTCTTTGTTCTTTCCTCATTCAGTATATTTGGATTCCCCTGGTCTGTTGAGGGCAGCAAGGTGTGCATGTTCCAGGACATTCTTAATGTGGTTGTAGCATCGAGTCCATCCCCAAGCGCAGGAGCATTTGTGTTTGCTGGTTCATTGTCCATGGTAGCCAATCAGCTTCTAAGTTCAGGTTTTTCAATTAAGCTTTGAAACTGGAAGCTGATTGGTTGCAGAATTGCTTTAGATTTTACACTCTCCAGTCTAAGTCAATGACCCCCATAATCTATTTTTTTTTCATAAAAATACTGTATCAGTTGTAATAATTTCATGGCTGATCAATGTAGGTACAAAAACTTAACCCCAATATTCCCACCACATTGATTTTATGCTATGATTTAACCACTTCCCGACCACCCTAAAGCAGAACTACTGCTACAGGGCGGCAGGGCTGCGCAAAATCACATATATATATGTGATTTGTATTTCCAGGTAGGGGGCGTGCGCACCACACTGCCCACTCGGCCATTGGCGGCTACAGCTGTCGATCACTGGATCCCGGTCGGATATTCTCCGCTGGCACCCTACGATCACTAAGGAACACTGACAGAGGAGAGGTCTGTATGTAAACAATACAGATCTCTCCCATGTCAGCACCAGCATGCTGCTTTGTAATGCTCTGCATAGCAGAGTAATACAAAGCAGTGTGCTTAATCAGTAAAGCACACACAGCACAGAGTTAACCCTTTGAGTACAGTGTCAGTGCTTTTTATTAGCACTGGTCACTGTATTAGTGTCAGTGGGATGTCAGTGGCAGCTATTCAGTTCCCCTCCAGTGTCAGAATGCCTGCCGCTGTCCCTCTATAAGTCGCTGATCTCCACCATTGCTAGTATTAAAAATAAATTTTCCAGTATATATGCCGCCATTTGTAGATGCTTTAACTTTTATGTAAACCAATTAATTTACACGTATTGAGATTTTTTTTTAACAAAGACATTTAGCCAAATACATTTTGGCCTAAATTTATGATGAAATTTTATTTTTTTTTTTTTTTATTGAATATGTTTTATAGCAAAAAGTAAAAAATATTGGGTTTTTTTTCAAAATGATCGGCCTTTTTTTGTTTATAGTGTAAAAAATTATAAACGCACAGGCGATCAAATACCACTGAAAGAAAGCTCCATTTGTGGGAAAAAAGGACACAAATTTAATTTGGGTGCAGCGTTGCATGACTGCACAATTGTCAGTTAAAGTAACGCAGTGCCGTTTTGCAAAAAAGGCCCTGGTCAGGAAGGGGGGTAAATCCTCTGGAGGGCAAGTGGTTAAGTATTACATTTTGAACATACAGCATAATCTGCAGAGCATTACAGAGTATAAAAAAGCTATTATTATTAATTTATGTTGCCAGCATGTTTCAGTGTCCCCCCCCTTCCTCAGCTTCAGCAACATGCTGCACCAGGCACCCATCTATGAGTGGTAGTATTGCAAAACAGACAAGGCTAATGTATATTATATATGTGTTAGGTTCATACTTTTCATTTAATGCAGGACATTTTAGATATGTTTTAAATTCAGTACCACTGATCCCTGGAAGGTGTTTCTCAAAAAACTGCAACAAAAATACAGCACCTCGATCTTTAAAAATGAGTCAGACTTTTGATAAGTATGATACTGCCAGTGTCCACATTTATCAACCACAGGAAGAATTGTTTAGAACGACTTTTTGATATAACTGTCAATGTAAGGCTGTCAGCATCTGTCACTGTCAATATATATGTAGGACTTTCATTGTCAGCTTATCTGTAATTATTTCTATCTATGTCAAGTTACATTTTTGCTAAGTTAGTACTCATTTCATTGCCAGGTTCTACCAGATATATATATATATATATATATATATAATATATAATATATATATATATATATATAGTTATATAAAATATTTGGGTTTTTTTTTTCCCCTAGTTATTCTAATTATTGTTGGTAAATATTTGTCGACTAACACTTAGCCTGAAATAAAATGATATGAAAGGTCACCTCAGTTATGCTACACTTGTATTGGCAAACAGAAACACAAGAACTATGGCTTCATGCATTTATAATGACATAAAACTATGCAGTGTTTTATAATATACTGATGTTTCACAGACGCAGTTCATGATCCCATATATCTTCAACTGAGCCTAATCCAACATTGATTTTGGCAAACTCCTGTTCTTGAAGGCTGTAATAGCACTGTAATTGCACAGGAGCAATCAATAATTGTGCACTGACTTTTTATTAATTTTTAGTCCAATATATGACATTGAATAACATTCACATTTGCCCATTTTCAAAGCTCATAAACTGGTTTATATTGTGAAAGCTGAAAGTATTAACTGTCCGTCTCATACATGATTCTTTCTTTGATTGCAGTTTGTGTTTTTATCCTTCTGGGCATTGTATACATATGACAGGCAGTTGGTCTACCCCGAAGGTCTAGATAAAGTCATTCCACTATGGCTGAACCACGCTGTGGTAAGTTAGCTAAAGGCTAAGAGGAAATTTTACAGCATGCTATTGTTGTTTTATTCTATTTCCAGTCAAGGGAATCTTACATTGAATAACAATGGATTGAATGGATGTTTAGTTCATTCTCTGTAATGTACATACAGTATATAGGAGTTCTGCTCACAGACAGCAGAGTACTTGTCCTTGTGATGGCGCTTCCAGTTTTAACAAAGACAACTTACTGTACAAATATTTTGTAATGATCTCTTTTAGTCTTGTTAAAATGACAAAACTGTGCAGTTATTGTATACTCTAAAGCAGTGTTTCTTAACCTTTTTTCAGTTAAGGCACCCTGTAAAATTATGTAAAGTCCCAAGGCACCCTTTAAAATTATGGACAGTCTTTTAAGGCACCCCTTTCTAAAATGGGGCGCCTCAAAACTGTCCATAATTTTAAAAGGGCACCCCATTCTAAAATGTGAAACTGTTCTAATAGTTTTATATAATGCAGCAACATCCACACATGTATGACGCCCCCAACATTAGAGGTGATTTATTCTACCAAAGCAAATACACTTTTGTACACTGGTACTGACTAGTATTCCAATGTTTCTCTTCTCCCTCAGTTTTGCACCATCACTGAGCTAATGTGACCCAAGCACTGATGGAGAGGGGGCAGGGGAGGGACAAACTAGGATTCTGTGCAGGCAGCTGCCATCCTCCTTTTCAACTGATGATGGCAATGGTGGTTGGAAGGTCATAATGGTGCACAATGAAAACCTGTGGCTCTGTGTAACTAAAAGACTGGCTTGTTCTACCTGCTATCTATTTGTAGACATTTTGCCACGGCACCCCTGGAGAAACCTCAAGGCACCACAGGGTGCCTAGGCACCCTGGTTGAGAAAGACTGCTCTAAAGAAACCTAACATTATTTGAAAGCTTGCATCTTTTTTTAACTTAAGGTCCCGTTCACATAAGGTGATTTTAAATCGCAGACAGAATCACTGTGATGCTGCTCACAATTCAATATCACGGCAGAATGCGTGACACACATGTGGGTGCCATTATTCTTAATACCAGCCCAAACTTGGTGTGATTTTGCCACAATCATTGCACAGCAATTGTTACGAAAAAAATGCAAGGTTAAATATTGTGTTAAGCTTGTTGCCCAAAAAGGAGCAGGAGCTTCTTTTTGGTGACAAATGCGCATAGGGCAGCCCATTGAAGTGAATGGGCTTTCCTATGCAAATTACATGTTTCCACTTGTAGATCGTGCTTTAAAAATTGCTAGCAGGAACTCTCGCTCCTGCTAAGCGAGGTGTGAATAGGGCCTTGAGCCTGGGTTCACACTGATGTGGTCTGGAATTCGCAGTGTTTTCTGTGAGAATTCTGCACCGCATGAGAATCGCACCCTGTTCATGCGAAGTGCTGCGGGTGTGTATATTAAGTTAACAACACCCCGAAATGGGTCCGCAAAATGCAGTGCGATGTGGAGAATCGGATCACATAGGTGTCAATACCCATGTGATCCGATTCTAGTGCGGACCCAAAAAAGGGTCCTGCACCTTTTTGGTGAGGATGCGGTGCGATTTGAGCCATACATAATGTATGGCTCAAATCGCACTGCACACAATTTGCATGTGATTTGACCAGGAATGCGGTGCATTTCTGTGCGAATCGCATGCAATGTACCGAGTGTGAACCTAGCCTAAGTGTATGTAAACCCTAACAAAAATGTTTTCTTATTCGCTAGTCTGTTAGATATACTACTGATTTTGTTACATCTGATTCATAATGACAAAGCTGATAACTTGCTATACTCTTTGCTTCTGCACACTGTTATCATTTAGCAATGTCCCCATCTATTCCCTCACTGTGGACTACAGAAAACCTCCCCCTACATTGTGCAGAAGAAGGGGGGGTATCTTGTGCTTCAAATACACTTTGTCTTTTTAGGACAACACTTCTTCTCCCTACATACAATACAGTAGGTAAGCGCCGTCACCCTCAGACAATAACTGCAATAACTGATGCTGGCATGATCACTAGGTGAAAAAAAAAAGGGGGGGGGGGCTTAATAAAAAAAAAATCCTTCACTTTTTGTCCTGTAGACACAACAAGAAGTGAAGAGAAAGTCTCTGAATTTTGGGAAAACTGTCCTTAGCTGTCACAAATAACCTTGCGATTTCAGTTGCAGAGGCAAATAGAGAAAGTGCATCTCTTGAGCAGGGGAAAAGCAGCAATAAAAACCTGACAGAATTTCCAACCCATCACCACTCAATCCAAGACTAAAATAAAATGTTTAGGCTTTAGGTACCAGGCCATTTTCCACTTTATAGTGCTATGATAGTTTAATGTAATTACTCAGTCATGCAACACTATTGTCTAATTAAATTTATGTCATTTTATGAGAGCAAGAGCTTTCTTTTGGTGATATTTAATAGCCCCTTTTTTAATATTTATATTGTATTGTATATAAGGTGTGACTATTTAACTTAATTAAAAAAAGTGTGAAAAAAGATTGTGTGAAACTCATTAACAAGTCCTGTATTCATGTCCTGGTGTTTTGTGTGTCCTATGGATCAATAAAGACACACTATATTCATCTATCCTCCAGTGTGCGGCTGACCCTTATTCCTATTGCATCGGTTGTAGGGGCAAGCCAGAGCCTGCAACTGTTGTGGATTGATGTGGATTGTTTGCCTGAGCAGTATACCTTTTGTTCTTTGTAGCTCTTATATACACAGGACCAGTGGGTCAGTCAGTCCCAAAGATCCCGCCAAAGACCCAGGAACAGAGTTAACCCTAACCCTCCTGTCTGGGGCAACACCTAACTACCTAAATTGTAGCCCACTTTCATAGGCTGCAGGCATTCCGGGAATTAAACTGTCATACCTATATATATATATATATATATATATATATATATATATATATATATATGAGAGAGAGCGAGATACCAACATTCTGTTACAAAATAAAAATGTAGTCTCAGTTTTTGCCACTTTTTTTGGTAATTTTTTATTTATTTATTTCAGGTATTAAAGGAATATGCTGGTATTGAGAGGGTTAAAACATGGAGCTTGGTAATGATGCATTAGATACAATGCATACAGATCATACACAGAGGAAGGAGGTAGCGAAGGGGTTAATGGACAGATTGCAGAGTGGGAAGATGGAGATGAAAGGGTACATGTGTATATTTGCAGGGTAAGGGAGGTGAAGGGTTATTATGCAGGTCACTTAGAGACACCATGGAGATCAGTAGTGCAGGCGAGGAGGGGAAAGAAAGGGTTAAACTTTATATGCAGCTACTGCAGCCATGATTGTACTGTGTTTGAATGAGTCATGTATTCATTAGTTCTATTTCTTCCCTTTCTTCCATTGAAAGGGGAAGAGGAGAGTTCACTGATGTAAATACACACACAGGCTTTCAGTGAGAAAGTAAGGTGTTCTGATAACGAAACATGTTGGGGCGGGGCCTTGGATGCCATCAGTATGCTATATGTCTATACAGGAAGTGGGGTACTTGTTTTACTGGCAGTTTATCAGCAGTTTGTTTTTTTTGCTCTATCTGTGGGTGTGTTGCTGTGCACCTGATAATGCGAAGTTTTATTAATTTGGTGGATCGGAAATAAAGGTTTTATTTTAAGGTAACTAAAGCTAATAAACATTAAGGAGTATTTTTTTTTAGTGACACTATACCTTGGGGGAGTAGAGAGCGGAGGATGTTATTGGCAGACAGATGTCAATTAAAGGGACCATACTGGATCTGAGCAGAGAGAAAAGAGACGAGAGAGACTATATTTAATGTGGACAATATTTATTCATTTCGTTTTCACGTGTTTGGTTTTGTTCTAAGTTGTAATAGTGCTACATGTCTTTATTTTTGTATTGTAGTGGTTTGAGGTTGCTGGCCTTGTTTCAACTTGGGGAGCCCCATTTAGTGCTAGGAAGTCTATGTGGAGGACAACCAGACCTTCAGAGTGTGTGTGTGCGGGGGGGGGGGGGCCACCAAGTATAAGTTGCTTCTGACTGGCTTCCTTCTTGATGGTGACAAAAATGGACTATTCCTGTACAATATGTGCGGGAAAAGAGATGTGACCAACACATGTGCAGGGAAACTTCAATCCTTATTAGCTCTAGCACCACCCAGGATACATTTTACCAGGATTGGATGCTGTTTTGGGAGTATAGATACACTGTTCCCTCATTCTGCAAACTCAGTGGTGCTGGTGTTTGTTAGATTCTTATGACCTTTCCAGAAATAGAAGGTCTGGGAGATGTCAAATCTAAATTTATTGTGAGTAGAATTATAAGTGAATGAAAGAAGGGGTGAAACGATAAATGTTTTGATAATATGCTACGGTTTTAATGAGTATGTTTGTATAACTTGTTTATCTGAAAAATTCATAAATATTTAAATAAAAAAAAAATAAGTGAAAGAAGAAAAATCTCTCAGATGGAGACAGAGACAGAACTATAAACCAATGTCCTGACACCTCCCACTCCATCTCTGTCTCAAACAAAAAAAGTTGCCACTGAAGCTTCTCCTTTAGACTTTGCGTTCATGTTATTGCTGAAGCCCAGACATGACATTTCCCGCTAGTAAACTCTGTGCAAAAAAAAAAAAACTGATCCCCTGCAAACTAATGCCATAATGTGCTAGTATGCATCGCATGCTAGCACATTATGAAAGTCTTACCTTAAAGCAAAGCCCTCCAGTGGCGCGCTTCCATCTTCAGCTCTGATCCCCCCCCCTTTTCCAGAACATAGCTATAGTTTCAGAGGCGCCTTGAGTCAACAAGGGTCTGGGTCTTCATAGGACCGGTTATCTCCCCTTAGGCCAGAGATCTGGGTGGGCCTGCTAGCAATCAGCTCCTACAGTTTATCACTTTCTGGAGTTAATTGGAAGTGACCTATCGTAAAACTATGCCAAAATCTTTCAGTTCTGTCACTTTTGGTTTGTAGGGCAATTAAAGCACTAGGGGCGATCTTTCGTAGACCTCTGCCCAATTTACAACTTAA